AAAATAATCACAGTTCTTCAAACATCCCATCCAGTGTGCTCACATCTCTTCATTGATATTTTTGCCTGGAATGAACCTTATTGCCATTTATTCAGCCCCTAGTCATCTTTTGAAACTCTGGCTACGTGTCATTCCTACAGAGTGTCTTCTAACCACCCCAACCTGGAATAACTTGAAATTTTAAGAAAGAGTTGGAGTTACAAGATCAAATTTCGATTACCAAAATGGAATATAGATTGGGGTAGAGAGAGGAATACCTATACCAGTCAGCTAGGGAACTACTGTAAAATTAACGCAAGAAATGATGAAATTCTGAGTCAAAGCAGTGTCAGTATAAATGGATAGATATATCATATAAGAACTGTGACTGACTAGATGTGTGGAGTAAATGCAAAGAAGAATCTGGGATTACTTCTGAAGATCTTGCTTAGGGAGAAAGATGACACTATTAAGCATGTTGCATTCTTCATGGTTAAGCTCAGCGTGTCAAAAGTAGGTGAAGTTAAGGCAATGGAAGAAGGATCAGATGGAAAGTGTACAGAGTAGGAAGTGCAGTAGATGTATCCTTATCCTTCAACATTCACATTAATGAGTTCACTCATCTATGAATCCTTTCTGACACGTCTCCAATCTCAGGGAGATTTGTGCACACTTTCCTTGGCACATACAGTAATATGTATCAACTGTTATCATAAAATCTGAAACACTCTATTGAATATATTAGTTTATATGTCTCTCTCCCAAATATATTGTGAATCTTTAGGGACATGACAATAGCCAGAGAAATAGGAAAAAAAGCCAGAAGAGGTTCTGGTAATAGAAGGCTAGGAAATACAAAGTTCTTAGAAATAGAGAGACTAAGTGATATAAGAACCATTATGTAGCTAGTGGCTTTGGCAACAGTATAGAGTATAGTTAGAGTATAGCAGGGCAGGTGGCAACCAGACTGCAATGACACAAGAAATGGATGGAAAGTCAGAAAGTGGATTTAGAAACTTGAGCTTAGCTATAATGCAAGGAACTACAAGATAGCTGCTTGAGACAGATACAAGGTTCATTCATTGATCTAAAAAATGTTACTGAGTAACTGCTACATTGGAGACAGGATAATAAACAAGATGTAGATTCTCTTGAGCCTCATCATTGAGTTTACACTCTAGTGGGGGTTAAAAGTTTTGACAGCCATGTTCACAGCAGCATCACTCACAACAGCCAAATGATGGAAGCAACTTGTGTCCATCACCGACTGAATGAATAAACAAAATATGGTGTATATATTCAGACACCTTTAAAAGGAAGGAGATTCTGACATGTTACCACATGGATGAATCTTGAGGACATTAAGCTAACCAGGAATGAAATGAACCTGTCACAAAAAGATAAATATTGTATGATTCCACCTATGTAAGGTACTCACAGTAGTCAAATACAGACAGAAAGAAGAATAATGGTTGTATAGAACAGAGGGTGGGGAGGAGAGAATGAAAGAGTTATTGTTTAACTGGTCAAGAGTTTCAGTTATACAAAATGAAAAGGGTTCTGGAGATGGATGGTGGTAGCAGTTGTACAACAATGTGAATGTACTTAATGCCACTGAACTGTACACTTAAAAATGGTTAACATAGTAAATTTCATGTTATGTGTGATTTGCTTAATTAAAACATTTTTTTTAAACAAGATTGTTTTGCTTTCAACAAGGGAATAACCCCCAAAATTTAATGCTAACAGAAGGAATTCTAGAAAGACCAATGAAAACAGAGGAGAAAAAAAATTACATGACTGATAGTATGATGTTTCTGAGATGGCAGCAGGGGATGGCATCCAATGCACAAATAGTTCTGTGATCTCTTCCAATAAAGATATTATAGTGAATATAACAACAGAAGTAAATTATTTATTTCTGAAATACCACTAAACATTCCCATATAGGTTTCTGACTAGAATGTGGAAAGCTGGAGTCGCTCCCTCTCTACCACTGAGAAAAAGCTGGACCAGATGCCAATTCTTCCCAAATTGATCTCTATAGATCCAACGCAATCCCAATCAGAAACCCTCAAGCTGTTTTGAGGAAACTGACAGGCTGATTCTAAAACTGATATTAAAACAACTTTGAAAATGAATATAGTTGAAGAATTTCACATTATATGGTTTCAGGACTTTCTATAATGCTATGGTAATCAAGACTGTGCTATGATGGCAAAATGACAGCCTTAAATCTACGGAACAGAATAGCGCCAGAAACAGACACTCAGTTATGGTAAACTGATTTTCAACAAAGATGCCAAGGTAATTCAATGAAGAAAGGATAACATTTTCAACAAATGCTGTAACAATTAAACATCCTTTGAAAAAAGATGAACCTCAACTCATATCTCATACAATATGTAAAAATTAATTCACGATAGGCCACAGACCTAAATGTACAACTTAAAACTATAAAACTTCTAGAAGACAACAACAACAAAAAAATCTTTGTGAGCTTAGGTTGGGTAATGACTTCCTAGATACCAAAGAAAAAACACCTATCCATAAAGAAAAAAATTAAAACTTTTATTCTTTAAAGAATTGCTAAAAAAAAGAGAAATAACACTGGGATAAAATACACATATATGATAAATAACTTGTATCCAGAATTCTAAAGAACTCTTAAAGCTTAACAAAAATGCAAACAACCCAATTTAAAACATGGAAAAAACAGACACTTCACCAAAGAGATATGGTTAGCAAATAAACACATGAAAAAATGCTCAACATCAATAGACAACGAAAAAAATGTAATTAGAACCACAATAAGATACGACTACACACTAACAACAACAAAAATAAAACAAAACCTGATAATAGTTACTACCAAAGATACAAAGCATAGCTGGTAATAATGGAAAATGGTGTAAACGTGCTGGAAAACAGTTTGGCAATTTCTTATAAGTTAAACATCAATTTACCATATGGTCCAGCAATACCAATATTAGATACTAAACCAAAAGAAAGTATGTACACCTAAAAATCTGTAAGTGAATGCTTCTAGGAGTTTTATTCATAACAACCAAAACCTGAAAACAAATGTTTACCAACTGGTGAATGGATAAACAAATTATAGTAGATCCACAGAGTGGAATATTATTAAGCATTGATAAGAAACAAACTACAAACACCTAGCAAATTGAATAAATCTCAAAATCATGCTAAGTGAAATAATCCAGACACAAAAGGCTATATACTGTATACTTCTGTTTATATGACATCTGGAAAAACCAAAAGTATAAATTAAAAAATTTATAACAGTTTTTAAAAATTTAAAGTTTTAAAAACAATTGCCAATGCAATTGCACTGCATAAGAATGTTTTGGTTAAGGATTTACTGCCTATGAGATAGTGGTCCTATAAGATGATAATGGAGCATATATAGAAACCTCATACAGGGCATTTGATATTAGCACTGTAGATCAAGTGGGAGAAATCAATGATAATAAAGTGGAGGGACATTTGGTTTTCTATATGAAAAATACACACATACACACACACACACAAACACACACACACCCCATCTAGGTTCATGTAGGTAGAGTCTGTATTCGCTCAATGCTTAAACTGCCTAACAAAGCATTTCTCAGAATTTATCTACATTGCTAAGCGACTCATGACTACAGCTGCAAACATTTATATAGCATTTTACTATGATAATCCTCACAAACTTCATGGAGTAGATATTAGTTTTATATCCTTTCTACAGGTAAGAAAATGGAGGTTCAGAGATTGTCCAATTTACTGAAAGTAACAAAGTGAGGACATGTGTTGACATTTGTAACTTGGTGTCTCTTCAAATTTCACACTTTTTCCCCCTGCTATACCAATAACTCAATTACCTGTTATCCTTAGCTTTTGTAATACTTGCTTGTGGTTCAGGCCTCTGTTACACAATACAAAGTGATTTTTCTAAAAATATTTTAGATTATAAATGAGAAATGGAAAGATCTTATTAATTTTTTATGTCTACATTGCTTAAGTGTTCAGAACATAGTGGACCTTCAACTGTCTGTAAATGAATAAAGAATTACTTGAATTTCCCGAAAGGATAATTAAAAATAACACTGAATTTTAAAATAGCAAATATTCCAGAGGTAACTTATTTCAAGTTTGAAAACATTATACTTCACTTTCACATACATAGCGCTATAAGTAAACTGTGTCAAAGAAGGTATAGACTTACGCCTTAACATCCATGTTTGGAAAAGGACGTAATATCTTGTCCTTTTTCACAATTATGAGGATAAAGATAATGAACTTAAAAGTCCTTTGCATATGGTAAAGTATAATTATAATATCTAAGTATTATTATCCATATCAGGCTGTTGAAAGTAACAGAGAACCCTTTCTTTTCTCAAAATCTTCATCTACATGAAAAAATATTTTAAAATCTCTTTCCTTTCATTAATGGGGATTAATGCTTTATAGCAATGCTTCTAAAGCTTTACTGCTAAGAACAAAATCAGAAGACTCGGGAGTTGTATCCTTTGATGATGATATTACACTCTAATGAAGTTAAGGAACTACTGGTTCTGAAGGCAGAGACAGATGACAAAAGGAAATAGAAAATGCATAAGAAAGAAAATTCAGTTCACGAAAAGCACAGCCTTTGAAGTAGCTAAACTTTTACTGCTAATAATTGGTATTCATATATAAAAATAACCTGAAAGGAATTTTTTTTTTTCCAAAGCCCATACATAACACCACTTGGTCCCTAGAAACAATGTATTTGAAAAGTAGTTAATATGAGAAACTGGCTTGAAGCTATCATATTCAGGATAAATATAAGTATCTTCTTATACTCAAAGATTATCAAGTAAAGGTATCATTTACAGGGGGATTAAGTGGTTTCAACTGCATAAAGACTGTCCTGGGACTTCTTTGGATATGCTTATATTTTCAAGAATTTGTTAAAATAGTTACTTATGTCCTTAAACATGTAGGAATAAGAAAAAATGAAAGTGGTTGCTTACAACTTGTAGTTTTGCAAGAGGAATGTCAGGATCATATTTGGTTAAGCTTTGTACACTTTGTCCCCTGCATAACATCAAATAAAATCAAGTAATTGCTTAATTCCTTTGATAATTTTATGTTTGTATTCAATAAAGGCAGTTTGGTATTACGTCAAATAAAATTAGGAGTTAACTGTTTCACCAAGGGTTAAAAAAAAAGGTACCAATTTAAGCCCCTAAAAGGTTATAATACCCCGCTAGTTCCAACTTAAAATCTGCAATTTTCAATCAACACGTTAATTTGGATCGGAATTCTGACATTTGAATTATTCTATTTTAAGGTCCAAAAAATGGACACCCACAATTTTAGGCAACGTCAAGGACTTGGAGATTCAAATACACGTTTCTACAATCTGCTTCACTTGAGAGTATAAATTCATTTAACTAAATATCTTCATCGCCATAAGCATTCACCTGAAGCCACATGGGATAAATGCATTTCCACTTTGAAAAGTATCTACTTTGGTTCAGAAGTGCCCATTTAAGAAAAACCCACACTAAAATAAAGTGTACATTTTCCTTTTAAAGTTACGTGACAGGATTCCCTCTTGAGCTCACGTTTCTCCCCACCACGTGTTTAAATCTGGAGCAAAATTTCAGATTAAATGATTGATCAAAGTAATGGGGAGAATTCTTCAACGCCGGCCAAATGTGCTTGGAATTTCAAAAGATACTAAACTGTGAGGAAGCATTTCTTAAGCGTTTCGGCGATTCGTTAACTGACTCTTAAGGACAAGGTCCAGCTACACTAAGAATCAGCAGGAAAATGACCACTTGGTAAAACTCAATTACACCTAGTAGGCACCTCCCCAGGCCCGAAACAGCACTCGCCCTTTCTGCTCAGCTCGCGTGGGACGTCACAACGCCCAAGGCCCTTCCGTCTCAAAGGCGCCTGCGCAGAATCTCCCCAAAGACTCAATTAAATCCTTCCTTAGGCCGACAGGGCCGAATGGTTTTGAAATTACTGTCAGGTTATGCCTCACTTGAAAAAAACAGTAGGTATGACACAGCACACCAGAATGACCACTCACCGAGGTGGTCCTAAATTCAAACGACAGGATTTAAGCTTCCTCTTGAGATTTATCTGGCGCTGCCGGAAGCGGAACTACCCGGGTCCTTAAGAGAATAGTCCTTTTGGGAGCCTTACGAACCACGGTCAGAAAGGTTAGGGCGGATCGTTTGGCTCTTGCCGGAAATTGTTCCGCCCGGGGAGGTTTCGGCGTGAGACCCGAGGAGGGCGGGGAAGAGGCGTGGCGGAGATTCCTGAGGTGTAGTAGCTCGAGGTGCCCTTATGTGGCCCTAGAGCTGCTACTGAAGGAAGTAGCCTACGTCCACGCCCACAACTGAAGTCTCAGGACGGACACCTCACCCCTGCCTCCGGTATGAAAGGGGGGAACCTAGACCTGAATGGGCTTGACCGTCTCCCAGCTGCTCGCGTGACGACCGCATTCGTGGCAGGTGAGGGCCCCGAAACCGGAGGAGAACCGGAGATGCGGAATGTGATCATGCCAAGGTTGAGGCGGCTGCTGGGCTTCTGCTTTGTCTTCCGTGCTCTGCATACCCTAAACACGCGCTCCACCGAGGGGCATGTGCCGGAGCGAATGACAGCATGGGCGTGGAGTGACAGTATAGCTTTGAGGGTCCTTTCGCTCCCTGATTTATCCTCCTGCTCCCCCATGGCGTCCCTTTTTCATTTCTTGGGTTTGAGACGCCAGAAATTGCAGCTCAGCTAAAAGGGAACTTGCCGAGCTTCTACCCCACGCGGTGTCTGGCTCCACCGAAGTGATTAGCCTCGAGTTGTGGGACTGCTGTGGGTAGACGTGGCTGTTTAAAAATTTTTTCTTCCTTAGTCTTTATCCCTCTCTGTCAACCCCATACCCACTTTAAAAGAACAAAAGCCTCGTGTATTGCCGCTTTTCTTAGTAGGGACCGAGGCTGCAGGTCACTGCTGCACCTCCAGCTGGAGGGCGTTGCAGCCTTCCGCGCCTTGAGGCCAGGATGATGATCCCTGGATGGATCTCATTCACGAGGTTCTTGACCACTTCCTAGGAATTGGCAACTCGGAGTTCTTTGGATAGTAGCTGTCTTGCTGGAAGACTTAACTATGGAAGTGGGAAGCATAGCTGATCTTAGCATGCAACATTCTCGCTGTACACTGGGACGGGATTTTGTTTTGGTGTTAATAAATATTTTTTGTCTCAGATGGATAAAATAATAACGATAGTTACCATTAACAGAGTCTTATGTGTGCCAAATGCTTTACATATTTTGTCATTCATTCCTCTAAACAATTCCGGGAGGTATGCTAGATTATTATCACCATTTTACAGAGTTAGAGATTGAGGCTTTGAGCAGTCAAGCAACTTGCCCTAGTAAACATTTGTTGTAAGTAAACGTTTGAATCTGTGTTAAAAACCAGATCTCTCTGCTTTCAAAATCTGTATTCTATTGTCCCGACCTTGTTCTTCCTCGATTTCAATTTCTTCATTAACATTTTCAGTGTCTGAAAGCATTCATTTATTTAAAAAAATTTCTTGTACCTACTTACATGTTTGAAAAAAAGATAGACATGATCTATGTCTATGGAGCATTGTGATGCAGAATTAAGTAGTTCCAAAATACTGTACTTACTGCAGCACAGGTTTATGTAAAGCAAATGACTAAACTGATGCACAGAAATTTTTAAAATCAAAGATTGCTGTTTAAATTTTAAATTCATATGACTTTCAGAGTAGTTGATTACCCAAGTAAATGCTATGCACCCAGTTAAGTAGTGGGAACATAGATTAGGTCCTTGTTCTCTAAAAGCTTCCATGCAACTACAATATAGACAATGTTAAGGAACAATTAATATTCTCATGTGGAAAAGGAATTGTGGTTATGTAGGACGATGTTCTTATTTTTTAGGAGATGCATAGGAAAGTACTTGAGATGAGCTATGTTAATACCTAGTACTTTCAAATAGTGCAGCGAGAGAGAGAGAGAGAGAGAGAGAGAGAGTGTGTGTGTGTGTGTGTGTGTGTGTGTGTATTAAAAAGAAAGCAAGCAAATATGGCAAAATGTTGGCAATTGTGAGTATAATGGTGGGTATATGGATGATTAATACACTGTTCTTTCAACTTTTCTGAGTATTTGAAATTTTTCATAATAAAAAGTTGGAGAGGAAAATACCCAACTCAGATGGAAACAGATAAGTGAAAAGATCTAAAATGCCACAGAACATAGAAGATGGGAGAGAGTTTTTAGGCGTATTAACATAAAAAGAGGTGTGATAGTTCTTAGGAAAACATTCATTGAACACCTTCCAGTTGGTTTTTGAATAAGGGATAGGAACTTTCAAGGAGAGCAGTGATTTCTGGGCAGAAGGAAATGCAGGTTCAGCAAAAAGGTATTAAATGAAAGTTTGAAGAAGGAAAAAAATTCAACATGAAGGTTGTGTGGAACTTGGAATGGGCTTTTTTGTGTAATCCTGTTAATGAATGAGATTGCCTTTGCCAGCCTGCAGAAGCCTATTTATTCCCTATTATGTGGATGCACTATTAGTGCCCTGGAAAGGAACCGCCATTTATAACAATGTTTGCACTGGAAAATGCTTTTGAAATTTCAGGAAAACTGGTTATATATTTGCATTAAGACTGAGCAGCAGGAGCAGGAGCTCCCATTTCCTCTGATTTTGAGAGTAGAAATCTACTAGTTTATAGTTGGGCTCCTGAGGGAACCTATGAAAAGGGCTACAATGATGGCTTGGAAACATTAAGCTCAGGTAAGGAGGGGTCTGAATATTAGGTGGAACTGATGGCTGATCCAGGGTGTTATTTTGAGGATCAGGTAGCTCTGGCCACTACCAGTAAAGGTATGAAAGAGACGACTGATTATCCCAGGTAGTAGTGTTCATGACAGCCTCAAACAGTGTGGTAAGACTAGAAAAGATGTAAAGAGGTCTTCAACAACAGCAGTGGCAAAGGATTTCTGTGGCTTCATTAGACAAGAGGTAAGTAGATACATTCTAAATTGAGTTATTTATGTTTATTCCTTGCCAATTAAATCTGTTAGAAAACTGTCATAACAATATTTAACAAAATATTAAACAGCAGACATTTCCTGAGTGCTTAATATGTGCTATTTGCTGTGGTGTCTGTATTGTAATTTAATCGTCAAGACAATATATAAAATTCATAATTCCATTTTATAGATGATGACTAGAGAGGTTCAATAACTTGACTAAAGACACAGAGCTGAGCAACTTTCAGAAAAAGTTTTCAAACTCAGAGTTTTGTGTCTAGAGCAATTGTTCTCATAGTGTGATTCCAAGATGTGCAACATCAGCATCACCTTGGAACTTTTGGAAAAGCAAAATATTGTCCCCCACCGCTAGAGTTTTTAGTTTTAGTATTTTAACAAGCTCTACAGGTGATTCTGTTGCATGCTAATGTTTGAGAACTACTGCATTGAGTGTGGACATTTTTAGTAATGTTAACACTCATTTCAGATTTAGAAATCAGGTTTAAGGGGTATTTGTCTTTTGTACAGATAGATTCCCAAACCTGGCTGCTCATCCATTTGTAAAAATATAGTTTTTCTAGTTAAGAATTACTGTTTAGGAATTCCTAATCTATGGTAAGCGCAGTCACTTGTGTTTTAACAAGTCTATCAGATAATTCTGATGTAACCAGTCCATTTTGGGACTGCTGCTATAGAAATAATTTTAAAATTAAAATAGGTTCAACACTGATATTTGAATAATGTATGTGTCTTTACGCCCAGACAGTTAACATAAGTTGAAATTAATGACTGACCATTGATCAAAATGCTGAATAATGTGGAAGTGCTATAAGCATAAACTGTACTTGGTTCAATTATCAGCGTTTTGAGTGAAATAACAAATCATTTTGAATGTCCTGGATCTCTTATAATGCTCATAAGATTTCATCTTGTTCTATGGTATATATGCTACTTCGGTGAGAGAAATATATTTGAATTTATATTTTTAGTTTTCCGATAATTTATATTTGTTATGCTGTCATAAGTACTATGGAGTCCTGATTTTTGCTCTTAAGTAAGTATAGTGGCCTTTGGTTTAAACAGACCTGGGTTTGATTTTCATTTGCAATCCTAATTGGTTGTGTGATGATGATCAAATTACTTAAACTTTCTGAACCTCAAGTCTTAATTTATAATGACAAAAGAGACACGTAACTACATATGTAAAACATTTATGAAATGAAGATATTCCTAATTCCAGGATGGCTGTGAGATTGTTAAATCACAAAGCAGTAAGTAATTTCTTCCCAACTCTTTTCATGATAAGGCATACATGGAAAATGGTACTATTTGTACAGTATCCTGGGGAAACTGAAGAGAGTGCTACTGGAAGCAATTGGCCAGGGAGTAACAGCTGTCTTGAAGGCTGAGTCAATTAATTTATTGGCATACTTATAGTTAATTCATGGTGAGGCAACAGGGTGGGAGGCTCTGAATTTACAAATATGGTACTTAATAGGTAACAGTGCCTAATAAATGTTCATTCCCTTGATATTTATGTTTTGGAGGGATATACATAACCCTAGCTGTTAAATAATAAGGTTATAGGTGACCGAAGGTCAAAACGAATGATTCGGAGAAGAGGTCTTGTAAATTGTTAAGGGAAATTTTGTAGAGGAATATCTATTGGGTACTTGAGATGTGCCAAGCAAGACAAAAATTCTGCTTCATCAGTTTTATCTCCTTTTTATTGTAGGAAATCTTCAATAATACTCATTTTCAAAAACTGATTCTCAAACTTCGCTACCTGTTGGAATTACCTGGGAAGCCTTAAACTTACCTGAACTCTACTCTCAATCATTTTGATTTAAGTTGTGTGGAGCATAGCCTAGACCTTGGGATACAAGCACTGTTAGTATATTATCTTTTATATAAAAGTATTAAAATAAGCTATATGTACAATTTACAGATAAGGAAATTGAGGCCCTAAGAAGTTAACTTACTTGCTCAAGATCAGCTAATTGCAGTCAGTTGGATTTAAACCTAGGTATTTTATCCCCTGAATCCATGCTCTTAACCACTAGCCTGTTAATTTTTTAAATAACATCTGTTATTAATGACATCTGTTATT